GAACCACGGAAGTTAGGAATCTAAAATTTTAGGGTGATGTTACCTATTAACGTTCGACCTTGCAAAGTTGGATTTATCTTTTACTCACCCCTCGCTGCAACATACGGCCCCGTAAAAATTTTGCTGTCAAAATTATTATCTCGTGAACTGGATAAGCTGCAAAGCTGGAATTTTAACGTGGCATCCCCTGTTCACGTACAACTTCACAAATTTTCAACGTCTCCGTGGAAATTTTGATTAGCAAAGTCATTATCTTCGGAGCCAAAAGAGTTAGGAGGCTGAAAATTTTTGGAGGATGTCTCCTGTTTAAGCAGGGCTTCACAAATTCGAATTCATTTCCGAAGTATGCCGAGGTCTCACGTACGGCCGCGCAAAAGTTTTGTCTCAAAGATCACTTGAAGTCCAGGAAATTAGAATGTTGAAATTTTGGAAGGATATTCACCTTTCGAGGTTTTAAATTCGGCTTTCACGTGCCGGTGCGTGAATTTTTTAGCTATTTTTCAACATTTCAGCTATTTTTGGCAGACCAAAATGCAAGGAGGCTTTTATTAGTTTAATACTACCGTCCACGCAAGTCTTATTTCCCTAGACGTGAAAATCCAGATGAGTAGAATTACGCATTTATAGCGCATTGCATTGCAGCGTGCAAGCGGGAGGCGCAGAATTTGTATGATCAGCACTTTTTGGTAGCCGCGATGAGCGATACGTTAACGAGCCTGTACACAATTACTCCATCACAGGATATCAACTGTCCGGCATACAACGCAACAAGCTATCCCGAAGGTGGGGAATATTCGGTCAATCACATGGATTTCGAACCGAAACAACTGCAGCGGCTGCACCTTTGGCGTGGAGATAAAATGTCATTGTTTCAGACTCTTTACAGCAGGTACTCATGTTAAATTGATAGTAACCCACTTGCTAAAGAATAGTTCAAGGCACTGGAATAGTACAAGAAGGGACAAGAATCGCACAAACAGTTGCTGTTGAATTGCAATACCAGCGAGAGAAATAGACGAATTCAGCTGCAGTGATTAATAAAAGCAAGATAAAAATCTTGCATATACCTTCGTCTGGATTTACTCCCACATTGGAAA